GGCACATGAGGTTAGAACAGCCTCACATTTGAGCCCCTTTGTTGCCGCAGAGTGGGTGCGTTTCCATCCTATGGTTCAGCTGAGATGTATTTGAATATTAATAGCTCGGCTTGGTAGATGGGCTGTTGGTTTGATCTCTGAGCTTGGAGAGTTGGTTGCAAACATTTCATCTCCATTTGGGGGGTGGGGGGGACATCTTTAGTGCACTTTGAATTGTTCTCATCTGTCAGAGCACTGGCCTTTAAATACCTTTTTGTGGGATGGAAATTGGTGTGGGTGTTATTTGTCCGGATGTTTCTGCTCCAGCTCCTGCCAACTCAGCAGTTCAAAAGCAGGTAATCCCAATGTAAATGGGTATCACTTTGGTAGGCAACTTCATGAAGATGCCAAAGGAGCCCCCAACTGGACATCACTCGGGCAACAGTGATATCACTGTCAAATGCTTTCGCCTCAGAAGCACTCTGGTGCTTCCAACATGGAAGTATTGATATCCACATTTGTTGTGAAAAAGAAGCTACAGAGCAAAAGATATAGCCAATGGAGGTGGACCAAAGCCTGTCCCTGGAATTTGTAGAGTACTTCTCAGTGGGTGAAAAGAGAAACAGGGGTCTCCCTATTCCAGAAAAAAGAATAGGAAGAGGAAGTCACCAATAATTTTTAGGTGCCCAATGGGGGTCTCTCCCACCACACTTGCTTTCCATTACTTAAATAAAGACTTCCAACCTACAAAGACTCTGTTTCTTCTTCTGTTTCCTTTCAGTTCTATATTTCAAAGTGGTAATTTTGAGGATTGGAGAACTAATTTCAATAGGGCCCCTTACAAGGGGATATGCAGAATGCTGTAAGAGTACTAAATGATTAAGTCACAGAAGATCCCATTAAAAAGGAGGTCGTAATATAGCAGTCTTGAGTGTAGCTAGTAAGAATCTGCTCCAGCTAGCAATGGATGGTTGCAGACATTTGTGACATTTGAAGAGCTAGATTTTCTTTGTAGAGAGAAAAATCTTCCTTTTTTATCAAAAAACCTCTTGAACAAAGGGAAAGATGAGATAGGAAGTTCCCTTTGTCATTTATAAAATGGAGTTGCTATTGTTTCTAAAGTAAAAGCCTAGCACAGTGATGGTGAATCTTTTAGAGACCGAGTGCCCAAACTGCAACCCAAAACCCACTTATTTATCGCAAAGTGCCAGGGCCGCCTCAGCATTGTGATGCCCTCGGGGGGGGGGGGGGCAGGGAGATGCCTCTGAGTGCTGCCTCTGGCACGCAAAAACTGGGGGCACAGAAATGGGCCACTGTGCTGCAAGGTGCAAAAATGGCCACTGCTGCACTGCAGGGTGCAGATACAAGGTGCTGCACCACGCAAGAATGGGGCAGGGCTAGTGAGTATCATGCAGGCACTAGCCCCGCCCCATTTGCAGCGCGTGTGTGCTTGCGGCCCCGTGTCTGCCTGCATGCATGTAAAATGCTTCCTCCTCCCTTTTCTTCCAGTCCACCAATCGGCAATGGTTGGTGACCTCTGTTCTACCACCTCTACTCAACCTTGCTAGTTGGCCGCTTCGTCTCCTTTGTGCTGAGCAGGGCTCCTGGTCCAGGTGATGGTGGTGGCCTGACGACCTGCTACCAGTGCTGGTGGCACGCGTGCCAACAGAGAGGGCTCTTAGTGCCACCTCCGGCACGCGTGCCATAGGTTCACCACCACTGGCCTAGCATATGTGCTAAATTCTAAAATTGTTAGATAGAAATTCTATCTAAAATTCTAAACTGTTAGATAGGCAGATAACAGCTAAATGTCAGTTTGAAACACAAAGATAAAATAGAGCTTAGGCTAGCGAAAAGCAGGATGTGGCTAAAATGTTAAAACAGACGGCACAGATGCAACAGGGGCTTCCTAGAAAAGGGGAAGCAGGTACCATATAAGGTAGATGCTTTTGATAGAATGCTGTGTCAAAGAAGGGGGCAAATTTGTGTAAGGGAATAAAAAGCTGGTGTACGCTTCATTCTAGGTCCACCTTGTGTGCACCCATTCACAAATATGTGAATAAGTTCTTTGCTGCTTTCAAGTTATTGTTCTGATAGTTCCATCTGCTTTGCAACATCTTCGTCTTTTAAGAAAGAGGCTTATTTGATTAACGACAGGCCAGATTAAAAAAAACCCAGATATGTGAAGGCCCTTTTATAGGCATTGCTTGCCACTTGTCTTAGTGATCAAAATAGCTCATGTTTGCAAAGGGATCATACGATCTCCAATATTAGGTAATTGTTCTGTCCCACAAAATACATGTAGAAGCAATCTTGCCCACATTGTAAGTGGGCAAGTCTACAAAATTAAAACCAAACATATGCCAAAAGAAGGGAGGGGAAATTAAAATTATCTTAGCTACCATTAGAAGGTAGCATTTCTTCTCCAAATTTTAGAAGGCACTTGCATTCTTCTTTCTCTCCATTCTCCTTTAAATCTCATACATGTCCAACTTTCAGAACTGGGACAAATGAAAGGGGAGTGAACAATTCAGAACAGCATTTACTTTTAGAAGACAATATGAAGATCCGTGTCCATCAAGTTCTGTATTTCTCCCTCTGGAAATAATGTTGCTTATTATGTAGAATGGAGAATTAAAATTAAATAGGCCATTTCTCCAGTCTAAGGACCCAACAGCCAAGGATAATGAACAGTTTAGCGATTCAGTTCAGTGCCTGGTGAATGCAGAAGATGAGGGCTGATTCTGACTGTGTGTCAGAAGATGGATTGGTGCTTTATGGTCACAGAGTGGTGGTTGAAAAATGAGATCAAGCCCTACACATCAGTTCACAAAATTGGATAGCTTCTCATGGACCGTACACCCCACATATTCCATGGCATATTGTCTGTTCTACATATCCTCCCTTTTCCTCTACCATAATGGGTTCTCCTGTTGCCATACCTGTCCACCATATTTATGTTGGGGATTGAGAAGCATCAACCCCTTCAGAAATAAATCTGGTTGCCTAGGACACTACAGCTGATCCAGTCATTGCCAAGCAACATAACATTTGACCAATCATATTCTTGGAAAATTCTGCATATGGAAATTTAAACCAATCAGATAAGCAACAGGGAAAGTTGTCCTCCACCATTCAGGACAAGTTTGAAAATGCAGATCAGTTAACCTTCTATTCTGAATGAAAGAAAAGTTCAGTCATAAGCTTAGGAATTGAAAAAAATCTGAAATAAACAGCAGAAAGTTAAATAAGACTTCAACAAATGAACGAATGGTACACATAAAATTGGAATATTGAAACTTTTACAAGATGTTAGAATCAATCCTGAAGAAAAAAACAACTCCTTGTGGGAAATTGATCCTGTTTTGGTTTTTGTTAGAACATCACAAATTTAAGCAACTTCATGATTTCAAAAGCTGAACACAAGAGGGGATGAGAGGCCCATATGCAGGCCCATAACATGATACTAAACAATAACAATACTGAAGGAGATTTTTGAAGAGTGCAATCAGGAAACATTTGTTAAGTGAGTTTGTCTCATTTTACAACCGTTGCCAAAGTTGTTAAGTGAATCACTGCAGTTGTTAAATTAGTCCAACTGTTATTAAGTGAATCTGGCTCCCCACTGACTTTGCTTGTCAGAAGGTCTCCAAAGGGGATCACTTGATCCAGGGACAATGCAACCGTCATAAATGTAAGTCAATTGCCAAGTGTCTGAACTTTGATCACAAGATCATGGGGATGCCACTACGTTCGTAAGTGTGAAAACTGGTCATAAGTCACTTTTTTCCAGTGCTGTTGTAACTTTGAACAGTCACTAAATGAACTAAGTCGAGGATTACCTGTACGTATCTCTTCAGAACTCACCCTAGACTTGAAGGAAACCAAAATATTTTGTCAGAGGCCAGGCCTTGCCATTGCCCTAAATATGTTAATCTGTTTCATTTGTATTCAAAGTCAACTTAAATGAGGCATGCTTTTATTTATTATGTTTCTTCCCTGCTCTCTCAAGGGAGTTCACAATGACATTTGTTGATTCTCTCTTCAGCTCTCTGTGGCCTTCCAGCCATCACAGGAAGTAAGTCAGGGAGAGAAAGAACTAGGTCTATCTAACATGTCAAGATAGGGTTTAATGAATCGTGATTGTTTCAATAAAACATAGTTGACTGGGTTGACACTCATGTTAAGCCAAAACAAATTACGATTGTTGTCTGTGTAAAGAACGCATCATGACCACCCATGAATTTTATGACTAAGCAAATATTTAACCTGGATCTCTTTAGCCTACGTCAAATCCTTTATATATCTCACCATGCCAGGTTTTTTGGGGGGAGAAAAAAAGTCACTGCACACATTTTAACACTGAAAAATTGCTTTTTTAATTTCAAAAAAGACAGGCATGATCTAAAAAGATCTCAAGAAAATCTGGGTGGAACAAGAGAGGCTAGGCAACCATGGGGCAAAATACATAGTTATGGAAGAGTTGATTGACAATAACTAACAAACAAAACCATATTCATATATGTTTTCACTGACAAATACAATCCACAGGTAAATTGATCCCCACAAAGAGATATTTACATGACAGATTCACATGCATTTGCACAATCCTCAGACAACAAGGCCTAAGCAAAATGAACACCACTATTCTCTTCAAGATGTCCATTTTATCACCCTAGTTACACCTGTGTTATACTCACTCACTCACTTACACCTGAAGCTAATGTTTCAAACCTACGCATTGTCTAATTCATTTTCAACTGGAGAAAGGCTGAAATATTGTCTGCCTTGACTCACCACAATATAGCTGTAAGGTACCTTTTTGAGTTATTATTTACAAGACCTGAGGTATTATTTACAATAGCCGCCATGGAGTAGCATCACATATGCTTATTTTCTGTCTCTTCCTTTCTAATTTTCTGTCTCAGCCCTCTCTGACTCATTATGATACCCAACAGGTTTTAAATTAGCATGAGCCATTATTTAGCTGCAAGTCAGAACTGGAAACCCAAGTCAAACCCCAGTTTCCAATTTAAGAGTGAAGCAAGCTCCTGTTTTTTCTCCCAGGTCATAGTTTCTGGGTTGTCCTAACAAGCCATAGTCATTTCCAGTTATCATACAATATTACATGCCAATGTTCTGTCATTGACAGAAGAGAACTGGCTGATGGCCATTCATAGTAGCAAAACATGGTTCAATTACATTGGAATAAGGAGAAATGGGATCCTGTCTTCATATACCCAGAATAAGGTTGCATTTGTCCCAGTTCAATGCTCCAGTGCATAATCGTTTCCATGATTATGAAACCAATAAATGTGTTATGGGTGACTTTTTTTTAAAGTCTCAGTGGAAGGGTCGATGCCTAGACTAAAGAAATAATGGTTTTTTCAGTCAGCAAAAGTAGAATACCTGAGGGAGAAAGGGAAAAAATGAATCATATAAGTTACTTGTCAAAGCCAGAGATAGTAATATTTTTAATTTATATTTATTTATTTGTTTATTTATTCTGTTATTTATTTTAAAAAGTTGCCTGATGCTTATCTGTAAGTCTTGAAAATTCAGATATTTTGGCCTTCATCTCCCAACTGCTCCAGCCAGCTTGGCTGAAGGGAAGAAACTGTGAAGTCCTTCAAAACATCGCTAGTGTCAAAAACATATGGACTGTAAGGACCCACCCCACTTTGCATCTTAAGAAGACAGAACTCTTGGAATATTTCTTCCAAGAGGCATTCTTTATTAAGAGAAAATGGTTGCAAGCATTCTAGACAGGACCTGGGGCCCAAGCCCTATGGTTCAAGATTTTAAGGGGTCCCCAGCAGCCCCACCCCACCCCACTATCCTTCCAGTGACAATCCCAGGCATTACATTTCCACCCTCTTTTTCCTCACTGCTGGCGGAAGGGAGACTTCAGAGGGGAGTTGATGAAAGCTGATGGCCCCTTTTGTTATGGTTAGTCCTTTTGGTGGTATCCACATTCAGTCCCTTTTGAAGTTGTACCGAAGGAAGTGAGGGCCATAAAACCCTTTGTTCAGCCCCCTTCCCCTTCATCGTATGACAGAATCCAGAGAGGACAGAAATGGGGTTTTCCATAGTCGATAACTAGAGATGAAATATAATTGGATTCTGACATGGACATTAAATGTAGAAAAGGAAAAGACAACTGCTAGGCATTTAAAAAAATGTCTCACCAGTGATGATGTACATAAGAATGGAGGCCCAGCCCAAGCTGAAGGATGTGCCAAATACTACTAAACGTTGGGCATATCCTGGGGATCTCCTAAGAATGGTTGTGAACACAGACATGGCAACCAGAATGAGGAAACCTAGAGCCAAAAGAGAAGGAAAAGGAAGTGTGGAATGGGAGTTGAAGAGCAACCTAGAAACCTCACCCATCAACCACGTAGTCAAGGCTGCTAGGAAGCTGGACCTCATTATCTCCAGGAAAAAGAATACCATGGCTGAAACTCATCCACTGATTAATGCTGCAGCCACTGTGGAAAACCTCTTCTGTTCATCAGCTCTTAATTGAGAATTGCCCTGGGACAACAGAACTGAAAGACCACCCAATCTAATTATCCATCAAGCACAGGGCCATCCATATGAGCAAGAGTTATATCATAACAACCAAACAGGAGCTCCAACAACATGTAACCAGCTGGCTTGAACTATCTACCAAGGCCAAGCTATGTCTCACTATTTCTTTCTGGGCTGGAACAGCTGGTCTCTCTCCAGTCTTGTCCCTTTGGGTTGTGACCTTAAAGGTGTGTGTGTGTGTGTGTGTGTGTGTGTGTGTGTGTGTGTGAGAGAGAGAGAGAGAGAGAGAGAGAGAGAGAGAGAGAGAGAGAGAGAGAGAGAGAGAGAGAGAGAGAGAGAGACGGTCTCTTTTGCTCCCTTTTTTTAATTTGTCTGAGCGATTTTGGGAAGCAAGCACTGCCTGAAAAAAATCCCCTTTTGGTTTTAGATAAGCAGTCCAACAGCTGGAATAATTTGAAGAAATACCTGAGTTCACCCTTAGGGCGTCCTTCATGCAAAGCACAGGTTCAGCCCCTGAAGAACGGTGCCTGTATTTACAAAGTCTCTCAAATAAGGGCTGAGAGCTGCTTCTGATTTAAGTTCCAAAAAGATGCACAAACAAAGGCCCTTCCTGAAACTCTATGGAGATTCTCAGTCACTCAGGTCAAGGTTGTCCCAAAGGTGCTTTTTCAGGAGGCAACTGGACTTTCTTGTTTTTTCTTTGAAGATGTTTCACTTCTCATCTAAGAAGCTTCTTCAGCTCTGACTGCATTCCTTTAGAGAGTTCCAAGAAGGCTCCACACCCATTTACGCCACTCAGGTGGCCTTGAGGACACAGAAGAACCACCAAGTGGCTTCAACGACTCTCCAAAAGAAGGCAAATGACCAGCTATCTGGAAGGAGTATAAATCCTTCCCTTCCCCACCATCCAGTCAGAGTTGAAGAAGCTTCTTGGATGAGAAGTGAAACATCTTCCAAGAAAAACAAGAAAGCCCAGTTGCCTCCTGAAAAAACACCTTTGGATTTTGTCCTGAGACTGTGCAGCAGCCACAGAAGTACAAGATACCAAGAAGAGACCCAGCTGCTTTAAAGAGTTGCATACAAAGGCTGTTTTCACACTCTGTACCCACTCAAAAACGCCTTTCGGGAATAAGTCTAAAAGCTTATTACCAACCTGCACTGAAGCTGAAGATGGCGGCTGCCTTTATCACCGATACGTTGTATAGCTTGTTACGTTCAAAAGAGATGCAAATGCAAATCAACCCTATGAAGCCACAGAAAAGGGCCATCAGCAGGAAGGTGCGAGTAACATGGATGTGCAAAGCTGTGCCCAAGAAAAGAAAGAAAACATCAGTGTGTGTGGGTATGTGTAACTGCTGTCAACACTGCTAACACTGGATGTTTTTGCATTGACAACAGATGGAAACGTAGCCATTTTCTTCCTTTCGCTTTTAGAGTTAGATGATGCTGGGGAGGGGGGATGTGAATGAGAGTCCAGCTTGACATAACAACACTGAACCTAGCGTGAGAATCAAGGTTGTTGAAATCAGAGATGATAAAGAATTTGCAGGCTGGGGAGGAAGCCCGCCTTCAAGCTAATTGGGGAATGTGATTTATGACTGTAAATTGGAGGAGGGAATTGTGCTTTGATACTATGTGCCCAGGGGAGGAGAATTCAGTTTTTGGCTTTGATTATGTAAGTGCCAATATTATGTTACTCAAATAAAAGATTTTTTAAAGTAAACAATGCCTCGAGGTTCTTTTGAAGAGTTTCATCTGTTGGAACCATGACAACTACAGCTTCATAACCCTGTTTTTGCACCTCAAGGAGAATTCCAAAAATTCTGCACCATTTAGTAGCAAGTTGCCAAATCTAAATAATAACCCTCATAAAAGGCATGTTAAACCTCCAATACATTTTATGTCCCTCTTTTACTAACACAGCTACAACTTCACATGTTAAAAAAAAAGTCTAAAAATTTCAGTCTGGTTCATCATAATTGCATTTAATAATGAACTAAAGGGCCACCATCAGTGATCTGTTGGACAGTATTACTTGGTCTGTTGGGTGGATGTTTGGGTGGTTTTAGGGGTGGGGAATTGTGGATGGGAGTGTGTTTGGGGATTATGTGTGTGTGACCTGGTCTTTGGGTGTCACGTAAATTTCGTTGTATGTGTATACTGTGCATACACATACAATGACAATAATATTATTCCATTGCTAGCAACCCTTGGATATTAAAAAAAATGCTGAAATAAATGAATCAGAGGGGTCATTGCTCTTGTTATCAAATGTTTAATGGTGAGAATGGAAGTGAGATTTGAATTTTTTTAAAATAGCTGGGTTTTGCCCCATTGCTTAGTACCTAATGTCTACCTAGACATTAATTGGGATGTCAATTCAGAAATTTGGTCCTAATAGGTAGCAGGACCTAGCCAAACTTGTCTGATCTTGAAACTAATAATTGCATGGGGAAATCTGGGCTTGATGTAATGGAATGTGCACCTGCAGGAATAGAAGGGGAATCTTGGTAAAACTGAGCTTCCCCAGAAAGAAGATTGGATTAAAAGACTATGCGGTCCTGAACTGGGGATAGGAGAGGAAGGAAGAGGTTCAGGCTGGCCACAGCCTAAAATCTCTTAGGATATACTTAGTAGATTAGAAGCTTATAGCTTTAATTAGGGAAGATTCTGTCTATTACAGTGGTTCTCAACCTGTGGGTTGGGACCCCATTTGGGGTCGAACGACCATTTCACGGGGGTCGCCAAACAACGCAGTCCGCCATTTTTTCCCCCCTTTCCTTAGCTGTGCTACTCCCTTTTATTCTATTGGCTTTTGAAAGCCAGTAGAATAGACTCTCTTGAATAGAGTCTAATTCTATTGGCTTTCAAAAGCCAATAGGAATTGTCCAGGTTGTCTCTGCCCTGCTGAGCCCGCCAAAAGTTCCATTCTGCAAACGTTGCTGCACCACTTGAGTAGTCCTCGACTTACGACCGGTTGGGGATTGCGGCATTAAAAAGGTTGAGAACCACTGGTCTATTAGGTGCAAGCAAATAAAAGGTTGGGCTCTCTGGGCTTGGTCTGAAAGTAAGAGGCTAGCTTGGAAAATCAGATGGACATCCTGGAAAAAAATACGGGTAAAGGGTTTAATGTTTAACGTTCATTATAAATTCAATTTGTTTATTTTGTTCTGGGCCAGGAAAAGCCACCACCAACGAGCTGGCCCAAGAGTTAACAGGGCAGCTGAAATGGGCCCGAAGGGAACAAAATCTATCTTTTGAGAACTGATTGTAAATTCATCAGCCTCTTATTGCTGAACCCATTTTTTTTCTTCAACCCAGCCTATTTCTCAGAGTTCTTTATGCGGGCACAAATGGGAGAAGTGAGCATTATACAGGTAGTCCTCCATTTACAACAGTAAATTTAGTGACCGTTCAAAGTTACAACAGCACTGGAAAAAAAGTGACTTATGACCATTTTTCACACTTACAACCGCACGTGGTCAAAATTTAGATCCTTGGCAACGAGTTCATATTTATGACCATGGAAGTGTCCCGGGGTCACATGATTCCCCTTCTGAGACCTTCTGACAAGCAAAGTCAATGGGGAAGCCAGATTCACTTAACAACGTTGTTACTAACTTAACAAATGCAATGATTCACTTAACAACTGTGGCAAGAAAAGTCATAAAATGGGGCAAACTTACTTAACAAATGTTTCGCTTAGCAACATAAATTTTGGACTCAGTTGAGGTCATCAACTGAGGACTACCTGTATTTACTGCTTTTATTTCCTAGAGGGAAGGCAGAATATAAACTGAACGAACGGATATTTTTTAAGACATTACAAGATGGAGTGGAGAGATCGTACCTAAGAGATTAAACTGGTACAGGTTGCATTTTGGAGCTAAGCAGATGTTCCAGAGTCCACTATGAACCATGCCTCTGTGAGTTGTCTCCAGTACCCAGTAAGACGTACTCAAGGACATATATTCCAACAGCAGACTTCCAGCTGAGCAAATGCCACTGCTGATCTTCAGGGGTTGAGTCAAGAAAGACAAATTTATCTCTAAACTGGTGACACTGGTTAACGAAACTGCAGTGGAAGGGATTTCTCTAGATGGAGGATGAAGAAAAAGACTGTAAATTGAGAGTCATTATGATTGTTTCTAATTTATTTTTTAATTCCCGATGAATGGTCATTTGGAGGAAAGTCCTGGGGCTGGTAAAACATGCAAGGATCTCAGATTGTAGTCCTAGGACCTAGGCTGTACTGGAAACATTTCTCTGAGATTTCTTGTTCCACGTGTTCCCTCACTTAGGAGTAAAATGACCCAGTAGGATTTTCCAAAGCACCAGAAGGCAAGACAAGAAGCCATGGATGGAAACTAATCAAGTGAAGCAACCTGGAATTAAGGAGAAACTTCCTAACAGTGAGAACAATTAACCAGTGGAACAGCTTCCCTTGAGAAGGTGCTTCATCACTGGAGGTTTTTAAGAAAAGACTGGACAGCCACCTGTCTGAAATGGTATAGGGTCTCCTGCTTGAGCAGGGGGTTGGACTAGAAGACCTCCAAGGTCCCTTCCAGCTCTATTTTGATTGATTTTCATTGATGGAATTGTGAGGCTTCTCCTTGGAAGGCTGGATTGGAAAAAGCCATCAGGCAGACAAGAATCCAGCAACTTTTGATCAGGATTTTTTGTCATGGAAAAATCAAGAAGCCATTCTGAAACGCTTCCAGCAACTGCTTTTTATCAAATTTTATCTGGTTATAGTGAAATTGAATATATTTTTTGTGCATCTTTTTTTTTTCTTTCCAAGCTATGCAACTGACTGGATGGGTCTCTATTGATTTCCATCTTATCTGTTTAATAATAGCCAGGTCTAATATTGGGTTGTTTACTTCTGACCATCTGACAGTCAACTTTCAACAAAATATGAGATCATTGCATTTTTAGCTATAAATGGACACATAAGACCTCGTGATTAAAGATGGCCAGGGACTTAAATATGGCTCCTTTTTATCCCTCTGAAGCCTTCTTAGTTTCCCCTGCTTCCATTAAATTCCAAGAGAAGAATTTTAGTTCTGGTGTAAGCATCTCACCAATGCTGATGGGCCTCAGAGAAACAAAGCAAGACCACATCTGTTTAGGGCTTGAATGGGTGGGATTCCTGACCCAAAAAAAATGATATGAGGAAAAATCAGGGTGGAAAATACCATTGACCAGATGCTGAGGACCCATTCAAATTTGGTACCATCTCTGATTTTATTGCACAAATTTCTTGGAAATTATCTTCTTTTTTAGGTTTCTAGAAACTGCATCTTTGTAGAGTGAGGTACATCCTGGCACTCATACAGATGAGGGGAGGAAAACAATAGCTAAGCATCTGTTTGGTTCAGTCCAGACTGGCTGGGGGATTCTGGGAGTTGAAGTCCACACTTTTTCCAGTTGCCAAAGTTGAGAAACTCTGTATGGCTGGTGCTAAGTTGGTTGATCAATGTATTTACTTCTCATCTTCTCCAAATCTATCTAAAATAACTCCATTTAAAAACAAATTTTATTGATCATGAAGCCTGTAGATGTTAACCAATCTAATAATTTGAATTACAATTGAACAAACATTAAATCAAACTATATGCCAGGGGTTCCCAACCGGGAGTGCTCACAACCCCTGGGGGTGCGAGATGATATTCTAGGTAATGCAAAAACCTGGGGTTTTCAAAATTATAGTGTATATGTATAATTCATTGCCGTTATTTCAAACTTTTGTAAGGGGTGGGAAAATATATCAGAAGCGTTCTAGGGGTGCGGGATATAGAAAAGGTTGAGAGCCGCTGCTATATGCACATTTATCCTTTCTTTACACTTGAAAGTTGCTTCTTCTTTATAATAATTAACTGAACTAATTTTTGTGAACAGAATTCAACTACACACAACCTCTAACTTTTCAAATGGGAATATGAAAATCTGCAAAAAAAATTAATTACAAATGCAGCAATTTGTTATTTCCATGGATGTTTTATGGGGCAATCTAAGAACCACCATTATACTTTCCTCATGTTGTTATACGAATGGGGGGGGGGAGGGCAAAATTCAGGTCAAGATGTCCAGTTCTTTTTTTTTAAAGGCCTTACCCCTTTCTCCCTCCCACAACAGGTCCAACAGCCACACCTTTCTGCCATTAGGAGTAGCTTCTCTCCAATGGAAGCAAGGATGGAGAAACAGCAACCTCTTTTGAAATCAACTTGGTTGCCCTGGCTACCACCACAGGTTTCTAGACTACCAATGGAATCTGCACTTCTGACCAATGAGGATTCTGGCCAATTAGATTGATGTTGTCCAATAAGGGAAAGAATGTTTTGTTTTTGACTGTAATTTAAATGTTATAAACTTCCTTGTGAAGAAACTGAAGTGCAAGGAGAAGGAAGAACTGAAAACTGATTCAACAGTTTTATATCCATTTCCTTACAAAGAAACTTCTGAACTGGCATAAAACCTCTGGAAGTTGCTAAATTAATCCCCCCCCCATCCAGTATCTATCTTCTATCTCTTCTCTATCGGTAATCTATTATCTATATATCTGTCAAATCTCTGTATCCATCCATCCATATCTATCTATCCCTACATATACTGTGTGTTTCTATCTTTATCTCTCTTGCTATCATCTATCTAATCATTGAGTTTTTAATTGTTTTAGGTTAACTACAAATGAAATACAGTAGCTAAATAAATAGCTACGCAAAGAGAACTGATCTCATAAAAATAAAATATTGCTCCATTAGGTAGGGAGAGGATCTCATATTTGATTTCCCCAGTGTCGTCTTTTGATCGTGCTGCTTTGATCATGCTAGTTTGTTTGGATAAATAAAATTAGGTAAATAAAATTGAACCTTAAGTTTTATTGGCTTTCTTGAAATGTCCACCATGACAACTCTGCTCAAGTTCAGGGCTTTTCAACCTTTTCACCCATTGTACCACTTTTAGGATATGGCAACATCCGAGTACCACCAGTCGCCTAGCAAGGGGTCAAAAACTTGATGACCCAAAAAAAAAGAAAAAAGTGATAAAGTACAGGTAGTCCTCAACTTACAACAGTACACTTAGTGACTGTTTGAAGTTACAATGGCACTGAAAAAAGTGCTCAAGCCACAGTCGAGCAAGACACCTGCCTGCCCGCCTGGCGGCGCTCTTCCTCCTGTCCGAGGTTTTCATTGTTGTGAGCATTTCTGTTGAGGATTGGCGGGGGGGGGTGTGCGGGGTGTTTGGTTTTTATTTCCCCCGTCTGCTGGGTGGTTGCAGCAGGTTTTGGTCACTTCACATGACCTTGGGACACTGTGACCGTCATAAATATGAATCAGTTGCCAAGCAGCTGGATGTAAATCACAAGACCCTGGAGATGCTGCAACATTCCAGCTGATCGGTGCTTCCTCAGTGCCAGGATCAGTGCTGCTTTCCAGCTGATTGGTGCTTCTTCTGGGCTCAGCAGAAGTGCCAGGATCAGCGCCAAGGTCAAGCTGGAGCCTGGCACTAATCCTGGTGCTTCCACTGAGCCCTGACAGCCCCAAAGAAGCGCTGATCAGCTGGAAAGCGGCACTGATCCTGGCGCTTCCACTGAGCCCTGACAGCCCTGCAGCTCCAGCCATCTCTCGCTCAGGCTTGTGCGGTGATGCCACCGGTTCAGCTCATTCCCCTCCCCCGCTACTTTTCTAGGATGGTCGTGTACCACCTGCCAGGTGCCAATGTACTACAGGTGGTACCCGTACCACTAGTTGAAAAGCCCTGCTCAAGTTTAAATAAATGTGCCCATGTCTTGTATATTAAAGAGAAACAGCCCATCTTCCTAACACAATGCCAACTTTATTGCAACAAGTGACAAGTTATCAGAAACAAATTCACATCTTCCCCAGCCTAGGGGAAACAATATTTTACTATAAAATATTCCAAATCACCGCTGATGCTTTTCTTGGGTTTTAAAACCCCCACTCACCATACAAGGTATACAAAAATGTTTTTAAAGCTTTCTAAACAACTTTAATCTAACAGTCATGAACACAAACAGCAAGATTAATGCATTTAGATATATTAGACAGAGATCATGATTAAAATAACATATCCATCTGTGTGCAAAGAAAAAAAGTATGGATGTCCTTTGCTAACCATTTCTCCCATGCACTGAAATGATACGATCTTTGAAATTATGTAGTCTGTAGCTTGAGATTTGCACGGTTTCAAGCTTCTGTGCTTAAGCTGATAGATGTAATATGGGTTAATCTCTGGATTCAAACCAGATAAGACTGCAGTTTAAAAGTCATGGATCATTTCTACAGAATCCACAATGGGCATTTTGTAGAAGTCACCCATAGATGTGGGTCAGTAGGATGTGTGCATGGAGTCAGTAGGATGCTTCTAGTCTAACAAATTGCCAAATTAAAAATCCCAGCCGTGATGGTTAACACAAGCTGAAGTAGCTTTTCATTGGTGTTATCTATTAGAGCACCCAGACTAAGGATAAATGATGCCACTAACGTGATTCACCATTCCTTTTTACATTCTCTTCAAATAACAAGATTAACTGGTTGAATATGGGTTGTGTTTGCTGGATGATATGCCCATAATCTAGCCCATTTTGGAAGGGCAGCAGGTGTATCTGCATGTCAGAAGAACCTTGTTCCATGAAGAAAAGGATAACACAGGTTGTGAATAATCCGTAAAAACAAGACATAATAATCACAACCTACCTACACTGGAATCAAACTTGTACCTTAACCAATTAAACAGCTCTGAACTTCCAGAATTGGAAACTCTTGGGAGAAATTTCCTCTGAGATCCCAAGTCTATAAACTAAACAGTATCCTCCTTTTCTCCTCCTAGCTAACCTCCCATTAATAATCTACTCCAAGAGTTTTAATTCTCCATCAGATGCACTCTTTGTAGCCTCCTCCTCCTCTTCCGGTTTAGATTTCTCTGCATCTATATTGATGGTCAGATCTGCAGAACATTCCGAACTTGACTTCTCTGGGACATCAGAATAAAGGCTCTGGAGATAATGGACAAATCTGCCATTCTTCCTCCAGTTGGAGTCAGATGCGGTGGGTTCCATCTCAGTAGGTGTAGCTGCCTGGTCTTGGGAAACTGACTTGGGAAACTGAGGAGAGCTCTCCAGTATCTGTTTGGGTAGATCAGTAGATGAAGCAGATTCTACACCATAACTATCTCCTGCTTCGGAAGTGTTCATTTCTTTGCTCTGAAGGGAAGAACACTCAGGAGCACTGGAAGTTTCTTGGGTACTCTTATACTCTGCCTCCCAATCTTCTCTTTTATCCTGGCCAGTTGTACTGGTCATCTGAGCAGCTGCAGTATTATCTATGAAGCTGGCCAGATCTTGTGGCCCTTGGTTCTTCTGCCATTCAATCTGGGCATGGGTCAAATACCTTTGGCCTTTGGAGCCATCGCACATCTCTGGCCAACAATTTCCATCTCGCTTCTGCTTAATGTTCAGAGAAGGTTCTCCAAATGACGTGGCTTCCCTTTTCCTATTCAGTGAGCCTGAAGACCAAGGAGTTGACTCAGCCAGGCTTTCCCTGGGGTTGCTCCAAGGCTTCCTGGAATCCCCCTGCTTCCCTTGCCAGCTGTCCCCTTTCCGATACCTCCCACCTTCATCTCTCTGCCTCTCCTTCCATCCCAATGGGGACTGGGATCGTTTCCATCCCCTTGCCGGGTCTGCTTGAGTGGATCCAGACCAGTTCTTCCCGTCGTCCCATTGCGCAGCCCTGATCCGTTGGTTATTCTGTCTGTCTGGGATTCCAGTGTTCAATCGGCCATCAGAGTAACAGTTTCTATAAACTGTTTCATCACGAGGAGGTACACGAGGGCACCAGGCGTAAGGAGCACTACCAGCAGCCTTGTGACAGGTGGGGCGGCAGCTGGCACAGCAGCTCCCAGCTTGTAAAGCAACTGGGCCATGACAGGCAGGGATAGATCCTTGCCCATTCTGAATAGGTAAGGGGGCCAGGGCATTCTGTGCCCCTTTAGCAGCACTGTTAAGCAAGAAATAGAGGACATCTAAGCGTACGGGCACCGTTAAGGAGGACAGATTGCTTGACGATGTCACGTGTCCCAAGGAGTTAGGATGCTCAGAAGCTCCAGATGCAGACATTTCCTTGGAGGATGACCCAGATGGCATCAGGATTAGCCTTGTCTCAGGGGTCTCACCACGAACAGGCTGCTGATTCCCAGCCATAGGACCTTCTCCGTGATTCTAAAGCCACCAGGACACACAAAGACTATAGGAAAAAGGAGAATACAACATCAATGGTCAAGAAAACTATTTACTCCTTCAACATCTTTTCAATATGTTTGAAAAAACAAGTTTTTTTGTGGTCTACAGAGGAAAAAGTCTTCTGAATAAATCTATACATCATGTTCTCGCCATCTCCCACAGGAAACACACAACGGCAGACTCTAACCATCAGACACCTCAAAACAAATAACTTTAGGAAATGGAAATAACTTAGTCACTACATGGTTTATAAACTATTCTTCTCTTTCTCCCCTTCCCGCTATTACAGGTAGTCCTCAATTTACAACAGTTCATTTAGTGACCGTTCAGTTACAAAAGCACTGAAAAAACTGACTTATGACCATTTTTCACACAACTGTTGCGGCATCCTCATGGTCTTGTGATCAAAATTCAGATGCTTGGCAACTGACTCATCTTTATGACGGTTGCAGTGCCTGGGGGTCACGTGCTCCCCTTTTGCGACCTTCCAACAAACAAAGTCCACAGGGAAAGCAGATTCACAACCCTTTACAAATTTAAGAACTGCAGTGATTCACTTAACAACTGGGTGAGAAAAGTCGTAAAACAGGGCAAAACTCACTTAACCAATTTCTCACTTAGCCACATCCATTTGGGGCTCAATTTCTAAGTTGAGGATTATGTATAGTTTCCCCAAAGACAGCAGCTTTTTTTTTTTTTTACCTCCCAAAAGTATCTTCAAGAAGGATGGATTTGGGCGAGAAAAAACTTCCTGCTTCAAATTCTGAAAAGTTGCTTCCAGTTCGTGTTGACAATAATGACACTATTTCTTGCTCTCCTTCTCTTTTCCACGTTTATTCTGAAAAGAAGTATCATTATAAGTAGATAGATATATGTAGGAAGAATGTTTGGCCTAGAATTTATACTGCATGTCCTTCGAAGAGTCACTGCTCATTCTTTAGAAAAAAAATGGGGTTGCATAATAATAATAATAATAATAATAATAATAATAATAATAATAATAATAATAATAATAATAAGTTGGAAGGGACCTTAGAAGTCATCAAGTCCAACCCCCTGCTCAGGCAGGTAACCCTATACCATTTCGGACAAATGGCTGTCCAGTTTCTTCTTAAAAACTTCCAGTGCTGGAGCATTCACTGCTTCTGGAGGCAGGTTGTTCCACTGGTTAATTGTTCTAACTGTCAGGAAGTTTCTCCTTAGTTCTAGGTTGCTTCTCTCCTTGATGAGTTTCCATCCATTGCTTCTTGTCCTGCCTTCAGGCGCTTTGGAGAATAGCTTCACTCCCTCTTCTTTGGGGCAGCCCCTGAGATATTGGAACACTGCTATCATGTCCCCCCTTGTCCTTGTCTTTGTTAAACTAGACATACCCAATTCCAGCAACTTGTGTTTAACAGAGTTCAACACAAGTCTTTGAAAAGAGACTGGCCAGGTTCATACAACAGGTTGAAAAAAATTGTGGGTGCATTAGCCCAGTGTGGTAAACTTAGATTTTAAGTTTGTTTGCATTTTGGACAGTCCCAAACCTTTTGTCTAATGATGGTGAAGGGTTCTGTAACGGGAACGAAAATAAATTGTTTAGCCTAACTATTGCTATTGTAATCAGCATTTGCACCAGGGATAAATGTCATGCAAGCGTGGGAAAACATGTACATGGATGGGATGTACTGGAAGAGGGAATAAGGGAGTGTACAGGAATGATTGATGTCTTTCTTATGATTTAATGGCTGTTGTCTGATTTTCATTGGCTAACAAGGTTTCTAAAGAAATGCTACTAACTCTCTAAGGTGTGGCACTTCTGAACGCAACGCTACCAGTATTCAGATTGTGTTCGCACACCTAGGACTTATTTCGATCCAAAATAAAATGCTGTTTCCTCAAGAAGCTTGTTTGAGTTGCCTGATTAGACTTTTAACGGTATCTCAAATTTAAGTAAGGGCCAGGGACCTTACAATGGCTTGAGAATTTTGGTGGGGGGCCTCTGGGAGTTGAAATCCACACATCTTCAAAGTTGCCAGGTTTGAAAACACTGGCCTAGCCTGCAATTCAGAAGGTTAACACAGAATACATGTTTTGTGGCCAGGTAAGCATATTACGCAAATTCAAAATCACGTTTGTACTTTTCATGTGCTTCTGGAGATCATCCATCAGCTTTTTTTATTAAGAGAGAGAAGTTAACAACATTCTAAGGTATATTTTTAGCCTATTCTAGATTCAACAGGGTCGTAGTCATGTTCTGTGAAATGAATAGGAACCAGTTGTAAACTGATGGTAGAAACCCAGCACTGTTATTTACTGAGAAGGCCAACTACATGTAGTTAACTTATTATGTAGTTAACCCAAAAACTCCGTATCTGCTCCAGTTAAGGACAGTCTCTGGGGAGAGCTATCAAGTCCTAAGAATCAGCATTATTTTTTCCCTTTCCTACCCCACCTCATATCTTCCTTATACTGCACTTTCTAAGATCAGTTGAACTACAGCCATGATCCCCAGCCAAAGCTTAAGGCAATGCATATAATACAGCTTAAACCAGTTTGGGGAGAGGCGGATCTTTTACGCATCGGGGGAGTTTCCCCCCCCCCCAACAGCGGGACGGGAAGGGCTCTTCCAATCCCCTTGGCGGTGACACGGGCCGAGGGCGGGGGAAAAGAAATTTCTCACGCTCTCCACTTTTAGTCAATCTGGTCACGCGTGGGCTTTTCCTGGCTCTTTCCAGAGCGAGCGAGCAACCTCGATTTGGTCTCAAGGAAAACGCACAAGACTGGAATAGGGGCGTGTCTAGAGAAAGGGGCGGGTGGAATGCTAATAGAGCAAGAAATTTATAGGAGCGAGAAAAAAAAAAGAACGTTTTTTTTTTTTTTGCTGCATTTTTCACACGCTTTCGTTTTCTCTTTGTCTTTCTCCGTCACCGCGAGATCCTTCTTCCTCCCTCCAGGGTTGCCAGTGCTGGGTTTTTAAAGTCAAGGTATGTCCATGGAGATTCTCAGTCCTCCAGGTCATAGTTATCCCACAGGTGCCTTTTTTTTCACGAAGCAACTGGACTTCGTTTTTTCTTTTGAAGACGTTTCGCTTCTCATCCAAGGAGCTTCTTCAGCTCCGTTCCCCGCCCTCCAGTCAGAGCCGAAGAAACTCCTTGGATGAGAAGCGAAACGTCTTCCGAGAAAAAAACAAAACGCCCAGTTGCCTCGTGGGAATAATAAACTCAAGATAGTTTTATTTTACAATTTAACGAAGCCTACCTTTTTCTACGCGTGACGTTATAGCGCATGCACTCAAATAGGCAGCAATCATTTAGTTTCACAACTGATTGTACCTTTTTGTTGTTGTTGTTGTTATTGGGAGTCGGGGAGGTGGGGTTGCGCAGAATCTGCTTTTGAGTTCGCTATCCTGGGAGGAAACCCCCGCTGGCAATCCTGCGGGAGGTTAAGCAATTTGGTTTAAAACAGATCTGTTGAGTGTTTGGGGGGATGGCGTGTACAATCTAGGTTTATTTGAGCGTAAAATCATGGCTTTCTGGCAGCCCTTCTTCCCCCCCCCCACGGGGCTGTCCCGCATAAATGGAACTCGCGTGGGCGCGCGTGGTTTTCGGAGTGAAGCGGACACAGGTCCTGGCTGGCGCTGAATAGATGCCCATTAGGAAGGTTGACCTGTGCTTTAGGTCCACCCAAAGTCTTATAATCTGCACGTTTCGTTCAATAGGTTTTATTATTATTATTATTATTATTATTATTATTATTATTATTATTATTATTATTATTATTATTATTATTATTATTAATTATCGATCATCGCACAGTCAGCCAGATGTTCAGACTGGATTTGGCATTTTGTCTACCTATCGAGTCCTTACCCAGGACCTGGGATAGGCAGATGTGGATGTTTGATGGTATTACAGATATCGTCGCAGGATGGAAGCAGTTCCTAGTAAGGCCGCCTTTTGCAATTGACTAATAGCGAATTTGTCAATGCCAATGGTGTTCAAGTGGTGCTCCAGTTGTTTTGGGATTGCACCCAAGGAGCCTATTACTATTGGTACTACCCTTGCTTGCTTTTGCCACAGTCTTTCTATTTCTATTTGTAGGTCTTTGTATTTTGTTATCTTCTCCAGTTCTTTCTCTTCTATTCTGCTGTCTCCAGGCACTGCCACGTCCACTATCCAGACTTTTTTGTCTTTCTTATCGACAATTGTTAAGTCTGGGGTGTTATGTTGCAGGTGCTTGTCTGTTTGAATTCTGAAGTCCCAGAGCAGTTTAATTTTATCATTTTCTATGACTTTCTCTATTTTATGATCCCACCAGTTTTTGCTTACAGGCAAATGATATTTTTTGCAGATCTTCCAATGCACCATTGTTGCTACTTTGTCATGCCGCTGCTTGTAATCAGTCTGTGCAATCTTCTTGCAACAGCTTACCAAGTGGTCCACTGTTTCTTCAGCTTCTTTGCATAGGCGGCACTTACGGTCTGTTGCTGTCTTCTCAATTTTGACTTTGTATGCATTTGTCCTTAAGGCTTGGTCTTGTGCAGCCAGAATTAGTCCCTCGGTCTCTTTCTTCAATTTTCCTGCTCTTAGCCATTGCCAGGTTTTATTATTATCTGCTTTCCCAGCTATTTTTTTCATGTATTGGCCATGTAGTGCTTTGTCTTCCCATGCCTCTATTCTGTTCTTCATTTGGTCTTTCTTGTAGGCCAGTTTGGTCTCTCCAGTAGTTAGTAAGCCTTCCTGATATACTATTTTCAGGGCATCTTCATCATTGTTCTTCAGATATTCTTCCAAAGCCATTTTTTCTTCTTCAACCATCTGATGTACTTGTAGCATTCCACGCCCACCTATTTGCCTTGGTAGATAAAGTCTATCAATGTCACTGCGTGGATGAAGGGCATGATTCATTGTCATTATTTTTCTGGTCTGCCTATCCATTGCTTTTAGTTCTGCTTGAGTCCAGTCCACTATTCCAGCTGTGTACCTAATGACTGGGATTGCCCAGGTGTTGATTGCCTTTATGGTATTTCCTCCATTGAGTTTGGACTTTAAGATCTTCTTCACTCTCTTGATGTATTCACCTCTAATCTTTTTCTTGACTTCAGTGTGCTTGATGTTGTCAGCTTGAAGGATACCCAAGTATTTGTAGTACTCTTCCTCATCCAGATTCTTAATGTTATTTTCGTGGGGCATCTTGATTCCTTCAGTTTTCATTATTTTTCCTTGTTTGATAGTAAGTGTGGCACATTTGTCCAAGCCAAACTCCATTACAATATCTTGGCTATATATACGGACAGTGTTGAGCAGCGATTCTATTTCAGATGATGTTTTTCCATACAGCTTCAGATCATCCATGTAGAGGAGGTGGGATAGTCTAGCAGATGTTTTTGATGTTTGATAGCCATGTCCTGAGTTATTCAGTATTGTTGACAGAGGAAACAGTGCAATAACAAATAGTAATGGTGATAATGAATCTCCTTGAAATATTCCTCTCTTGATATTAACCTCTCCCAGCCTCTCACCATTGATCTGCAACTGTGTCTTCCATTGTGCCATCGATCTTTGCACAAATTTTCTGATGTTTCTACTGACTCCTGTTATTTCTAGGCACTTTATTATCCAATCATGTGGCAGAGAGTCAAATGCCTTTTTGTAGTCAATCCATGCTACATTCAGGTTGGTCTTCCTTCTCTTGCAGTTTTCCAAGATCATTTTGTCTATTAGGAGTTGATCTTTTGTTCCTCTGCTGTTGGGGCGGTTTCCTTTCTGCTCAGGTGGAAAGAGATTGTTTTCAACTAGATGCTGTTGCACTGCATCAGCTACTACACCAGTTAGTAATTTGAAAGTTGTTGGTAAGCAGGTAATTGGCCTGTAGTTACCTGGTGTTGCCCCTTTTGCTGGATTTTTCATTATTAGGTAGGTTTTCCCAGTTGTTAGCCACTTTTCAATTTCTCCTCCTTGTAGTATATTGTTGAATTGCTTGGCAATGAGTGGGTGTATAACAGTTAGATGTTTCAACCAAAACCCATGCAGTTCATCTTCACCTGGTGCTGACCAATTTTTGATTTTCTTTGCTCTTTTTTCTACCATTTTTGTTGTTATTGCTAGTTCTTTCATTTCAACTTCTGTTTTATTTGCATCCACCTCTTTTAACCAAGCCGCATCCTTGTTGTATTTCTTTGGGTTATCCCATATCTGCTTCCAGAACTGCACTGTTTCTTCTTGTCAGGTACTGACTGATTCCTTGCAGTTTCTCCATTGATGGATTGGTAGAAACGTTTCTGATTGGATTGAAATTGGAGGTTCTGCCTATAGTTTGCAATTCGAGCTTCATATCTACTGATTTTCCTGGCTATAGCTGTTATTTGTTGCTTTATTATTTCCAGTGCTTCCTTGATCTTCCTTGTTTCTAAGTGGTATTTCTTGATTAGGTATTCTTTGGTCTTCTTGTTCTTCAGCTTCTTTTCTTTCATCTGTTCTAGCTTGCTTGCATGTGATCTTAACTTGCTGATCTTATTTTCTAGTCTAACCTTCCATTTTTCTGGTGCACTGTTTGTTTGTTTTTCTTCTTTGTTGATTTTGCATCCCAGGTATTCTGTTATAACTGCAGCTGTGCTGTACATTAGTTGGTTTGTTTCTTGCAGTGAATTGGTGCTTATACTTGATATTGCAATATTTGCATCTTTTAATGCTTGTGCTAGCTGTTTCTTTGGAACAAGCTTCAATGCAGGTAGCCTTATTCTGTTGTTTTTGTGCTGTTCTAGATGCTCAGTTATTCTTTGTTTCAATTCTTTTATTTCTTTAGTTAGAGGGTTTTGTTCTTCCTGAGGAAGAGGTGCCTGGTTTCCAAATGAGAACAGTTGTATATCTCTGCTAGATTCCTTCACTGCCAACTCCCCCTGGTTTGCCTCTACATTCTGAATTACTTCTGGTAAGGCTTTGATTTCTTTGCCCTGGGTAAACCTTTGCAGTTCGTCCAATTCTGTTTCTGTGAATACTTTATTTCGTGTTATAAATCGGCGTTGATCTGCTAGTCTCTGTTCTGTTATTTCTGATTCTGGATGTTGTTCTTTCCAGAACTGGTGCATTCGTTTTAGATATCCTCTTCTTGTTGGACTTGATCTGTAGTAACAGATCATTATTTCTTTGTTTTCCATCACTGTGTATCTGCGACGGGTAAACACCTTTTCTTCCAGTAGTTCTGCAGCTGCTGGCCCTGGTTGCTCAGCCAATAAATAATAATAATTATTATTATTATGGATCATCGCACAGTCAGCCAGATGTTCAGACTGGATTTGGCATTTTGTCTACCTATCGAGTCCTTACCCAGGACCTGGGATAGGCAGATGTGGATGTTTGATGGTATTACAGATATCGTCGCAGGATGGAAGCAGTTCCTAGTAGGCCGCCTTTTGCAATTGACTAATAGCGAATTTGTCAATGCCAATGGTGTTCAAGTGGTGCTCCAGTTGTTTTGGGATTGCACCCAAGGAGCCTATCACTATTGGTACTACTCTTGCTTGCTTTTGCTACAGTCTTTCTATTTCTATTTGTAGGTCTTTGTATTTTGTTATCTTCCCCAGTTCTTTCTCTTCTATTCTGCTGTCTCCAGGCACTGCCACGCCCACTATCCAGACTTTTTTGTCTTTCTTATCGACAATTGTTACTTCCGGGGTGTTATGTTGCAGGTACTTGTCTGTTTGAATTCTGAAGTCCCTTAGCAGTTTAATTTTATCATTTTCTATGGCTTTCTCTATTTTATGATCCCACCAGTTTTTGC